TTAGGCTTCCAAGGTCAACCTGGTTGCTGCAATCGGCTTACCACCCTTGAAAACACTGGCTTGATAATACCTCTCATGCCAGCCTGCACAGCAATAATTTACTGGAGATGTGCCAGAACTCGCTATTGCCTGCTGCGAGTCGTCCAGTGATTTGTCAGGCCAAAGTATCCCAGGGACACACGTACAGCAAGGGTGGAAAGACATCCTTTTTTAAATCAAAAAAAAAAAAATCAAACGTCAAAAATCCTTCCGACTTCTAATGGCGAAAATACTCAGAAAAAAAGCCTACGTGGTAGCCAGATGTCATTAGCAGTCATTCGTTGACAGCACAGACGATGGCTTCTTGTTTCAAGGATGAAACAACAACCAGTGCTTGCGTGATTCATTTCGGTAATTACGAAATGCTGAAAAAAACATGAAATTGAAAAAATAGGTCAGAGACGCAAAAATTGCTTTCAATATAAATAGGAGTGAGGTATTCATCAAAAACGCGTATATAAATGACACGGCAATTTGATTAAAACTGGAAAATAGCAGGATTGATACACTAATTTACAGTGGTCTAAAGGGGAGAGACTATAGGATTTAGATTAATAAGAACAAAAGAAATATTATGATTGGGAGGAGGAGAGGGGGGGGGGGAAAGGTTTTTTTCACTGATCTTAATACTTGTTGCTTTTTGCTTACCTTGCTCGGGCAAAATATCCCCGCCGTTATAGGAATGATCAAGACAGCCTGTGATCAGGAGGAAGGTATTGCATGCCAGGTGGTACGCACAGAAACATTCATGAAAATGCGTGGAGGTGGTGAACGAAATACCGTTGCACGCAATCTTTGTATGAAAATTAACGCCAAACTTGGTGGCATCAACAATGAGCTGGCAGGAAATCGTCACAAGTAAGTGTATTTTTCAAAATTTGCCCCCTTTTTTTTGTGGAAAAACAAAAAAACAGAGAAACACAGTGAACTTTCTATGAAATAATGCAGCAATCCCCCATCCAAGCACAAATTTTTAGTTCTATTGAAAATGCGCCGAACATCTACCATGCCTGTGGTAGATTTCACTTTTAAGCCAGCGAAATACTGAAATCAAAACTGCTCGGACAGGTCAGCGGCCTGAACAGTCACTCTGGATTTCCGATTTTCCCGCGGTCGGTCTGGATTTCTGACGTTTCATAGCGATGTACGATTTTGAAATCCGCAAATTTATTTATTTTTTTCCTATTTTTCCACTCGGCAGCTGGCAGAAATTCACGGATGAACGAGATCCAACACTTTTCATTGGCATTGATGTGACGCATCCACCATCCGGCGACACTGCGAGCCCATCAGTTGCAGCTGTTGTGGGATCGTTGAATATCGCTGCAACCAGGTTTGTCCACCGGTTTTGCGTCTTTTTTTCCCCACTTTCAAGTATTAGATGTGGAATTGATAATCCAAGTTTTTCTGCGAGCCTGTTGATCATTTATTTTCTGCTGGCATGCCGGGGGAGGGGGGGCTTCATCGTCCTCGGAAAAGGAAAAGGGCTTCATCGACAACTTCGCTAATGCCGAAAAGTTGC